AAAAGATCGGTGTTCGTAAATATTTGATTATTTATAGTATTGAAGTTTAAAATCTTCCTAATTATGTAAGAATGACAAAAGGAATCACGTACTAGTGTGCTGTTACGAAAAACAACTATTTAATAAAAATAAATTAACAGTATTCGAGTACAAAATTAAAAGTACAAACTCCAACATAATCGACAGACAAACTCAATAAATGAAGATTTCGTCGTGAAACGAGCTATATATACAGCTATAACGTAGCGCTCGACTCCAGTCTGAACCAAAATTAAGTCGCGTTCGTAGGAAATTGACCACCAGCTGCTGGTGGTTCGAATGTTGGTTTGCACACTACTGTGGTTGCGAGAAGCATTATTTGATGCGCGCGCGACCCAGTAGTGCATCGCGCTACAAAGCAAATAACTACTTGCACTTTTGTCAGATGCGCGCACGTAACAGGCTTGTAAAACGATATTGTTTATGCTTTAGGATTTAAATTAGTTTTGGTTTCAAAGTAACCGTGAACAGTTAAGTAAAGATAATATAAAAATTTAAAGTATAAATGTGCACACCTTAACTTTATATAACATATAATATTATAAAAGTTTTTTACTTTTATATAGGGTCATTGTGATATATTATCTATATATTGTTTGAATACTATTTCCTCCATTAAAAAATGTATACACATCTACTCCATTATAGGGGCATGGATGAGATTGTAAGAAACTTCTGATCGAGGGGTCTCATATTTGACGGATGTTACTCGTCTAAATTTCTTCGAAGTAGCGCGCGCCGCTTTCTTCTCGAATTGTTATGGCCCGATGGCAAGAGCTACGAAGTAGCGCGCGCCGGGCCAGATCATTAACAATGGTCAAAATCATATTTGTTGTCCATTTTCTTGCCTCTGTAGCCTCGTAGAGCAATGGGCGTTGTTCTTAACATTGCGAATCTTATTCTTTTCCTCACATGCCTTACCACGTCACAATATCTCTTCTTCCTTTTCCTGGCTATGAGGTCCGCTAATCTGTTGATAAACTGCTTATCCTCTTTGGACATGCCTCCAGATGTGATCAGAAATACAGCCGGGGTGTAGGTGGCCATCTCCACACTCAACGCTCTCTCCAAGTACTCATCCTTCTTCTCAACCTTGTTCTCTTCATATGCTTCTTGAAAAGTTTTTGTCCTGTTTGATAAGCAATTGGGGTATGAAACCCATGAAAATGAGAAAAAGCGATGTTACAACGCAAGGGTTCCTGAAGTGGAGAAAGGAGGCTTCACACCTTTAGTTTTCTCGACTTCTGGTGGAATGGGTGGTGAAGCTGAAAGACTGGTTAAGAAGCTGGCCAGTAAGATGGAGTACCACACTGGCCAGAGGTACTCGGATGCTGTAGGATACATTAGAAAGCGCCTTCGCTTTGAAATCCTAAGAACAACAGTGATTTCTCTCCGTGGAGACAGAGGTGCGAGAAAAAACTTTGTCGATATAAACAGTCTAGATCTTAACTTGGAGCCACAAGGCCAAGGGTAATTTTTGATTGTTTAGGAAACTTTTTTAATTCTTAAAGGGTAGATTTTATATAGGGTCATTGCTATATTATGTATATATTGTTTGAATAATTGAATACTTTTAAAAAATTAAAAAAATGAAACCCTTATGTCAAGAAATGTCTTATTTGATAAATTATTACTTTTAAATTTGATGGAGAAATAGTTACTGTATATTTTTCCATGTAGTGCGATGATACTTTGTAGACATTAGTGATGATGTTAATAATTATTACTTTACTTTACTTTACTTTACTTTATCAAATAGAGTTCAAACTCCTCTAGCAGATACATCAATCCGAGCTTGGTCACCTGTTATAGTCTTGGGGTTGAGACAGTCACCCTCATTTACCTTCTGTAGCAGGGGTTTCAACTTTCCAGAGGCGGCTATTGAGGGCGTCCAGGCGTCCGTGGACACCCACCTGGTGGCTGGTGCTTAAAAATAGAAATATTGATTAGTAATAGTGTTCGGAAATATCTTATTGCAATATAAAGCTCTTTATTCACTCAAACGTTCAAATGAAAGCGCACGCATGATCTTTGTGAAATTTTTTGTAAACGGTACAAAACACATCAAGCGCATCCCACTACAGGTAATCTATATGACCACTTATATTTCCTCATACATGCAACCACTGCACTCCAACTAAACACATTATTTACCACAGTCCACACACCATACTCCACAGATGATATATATATATATATACACACATACTAGTACCGAGCAATCGCACTGTAAAACATGCTCACGATACACTCAAAATTGGAAATATTCAACGGCTTGTATATGAAACTTACACTTACACTCAGTGTACACCCAGTGTTAACTAGTATTACACAATGGTAAACTCTACGTAACGCGCGAAAATAATAATTCTATGGCGTTTTCATTGTCACATTTCACGTCGACGGGATTAAACGCGCGCGCGCGTAACATCTTATCTTACTGCTATCTCAACGAATAAACACACAACGACTTTGACAATTGACCGACGACTTAACGATTGTGAGTTATGACGGACTTAACTGTATGGGTCAACTACTAAAACTGCATTGTATACTATCTTAATCATTATACTGGACATGATATGACGAAGTATCTTAAGCAGCACTTTATACCTCCACTTAGAACTTGATTAGTCACGAACAATAGAATCATTATAAATCAATACAATAAAACATCTTGATCAATAAATGCCTAGCAGCACCAGACAGCGGCCGTGTACCTTTTTCGACTCCACGGAGTCCCTGATGGACTTTTGTTTACTTTTGTTAATAATTTGACCGCAACCTTTCTTTCTCGAAACACAAATCCTACTGTACTTCATTACAGTATTAAGATAATATAAAGCAAATCATGTGAATATATGACTACGAAATAGATCTATAGATTTGTCCATAATATTTAATACCGTATTGATGGTTTTGAATTTTGTATATTGAATTTTAATGTGAAGCGTTTACTCTTCCCCCTCGGCAATTAATTAGAAAGTTAGATTAATGACAATAATTGCCAAATGACGTAGTAGATATAGATGTTCAATGTTGTAGAGTGATTTCAAGAGTAGTGGTCCACAGGGGTCCGAAAAAGCCGTACAGGCACTTGGGTCCTTATCCTTGTCACTAGTCCCAATTGGATTCACTTTACACAAAACATGAACATTTACAATTTAGACGTACACATTGGCACGATATTTATTAGAAAGCAAACAGTATAAAATAATACGTGCGTGCGCGGCTTGAGCCGCGCCGCATAACAATTTATGCGTTTAGGGGCTGGAGTACGCGTGTTTACAGATTAATGAATTGTTGCATTGTAAATATTTAAAGTTGACGATATATTATGATTAGATTTAGTAGTAAATTTTTTAAAGCTGGCTTTGGACTTAGGTAAAATTATAACTTATTTATTTTAAAGAAAAAACCACGGATAGTTTTAAATTTACATAGTCGTATAACTATAATCAAGTTAATCCTGTTTTCAAGAATGCGCGGCTTTGGCGGCCAGTTATTGACTTGTACATAAAATTGAATTTTAAATAGAAATGTGAATGTATTAAAATTTAAAACTTTCAAAACGGGGGCTTATAAATATTATTATATTATGATTGTAAAATAAAGGATAAAATTTTAAATTTGTTTCACTAAAAATTTGTTTCACTATATAATTTGCTCGTCCAGGACACCTTGCAATTTGAACTATCGACTGTTATGATACTGCGCAGCTAAGATCCTACATGTGTGGTGTCTTGTTTCACCCATATTATAAGTTTTTGTTTTTGTTTGCTGTCGCCTGTGAAGTGTGACACATTACATACATGAGGCCCTGTGTGTAATGTAATCGGTAGTTTGGACGGAGCTTGGGCCAGCCCCAAGTCCCCCCACCTCCTCCCCTCCTCAGTCCGTCGATTGGACACCCAACAAAACTGCCAGCCACCTCCCACGAGCCGCCTCTGCATCTTTCACATCATGACATAAGAAGATTCGCCAGTGTCTCTGATGTTGTTGTGGGTCATTATTACATTACTAGCCCCCTAGCTTACAGGTGAGAAGGTGGTCAAGATCACTTGTTTTTCCACATCCGCAGGTGATGGGAGTGTTTGGTACCTATCCACCAGCTGTAGCGTAGGCAGACACTGTCGCGAAACTCCTCTTTGTTCAGATTGTAGCCACACTGCTGAAGTGGCAGTGTTGAGCCAACTGGATGTCCCCTTTTCTCTTGCTGCTAGTAGTACTCTCTTAGAGGAGGTGCCACATTTTTCAGCTAAAGCCTCAAACTTGGCTTGGAGCTCGAAATTCTTCAATTTTTTGATAATTTTTTTCCTGGATTTGGTGAGGTTACTGGATGCAGTGTATACTTCCTGTTGGTCCACTATTGCCTTTGTCAGCTCGGTGGTAAGTAGCTCGGAGGCTGTGTACTCAGGGTGGCATTCTTCGTGAGGTTTACCAATGCCCAATCCTTCCAATCTTATTCAGTTAAACAAAAATTCAGTTAAACAAAAATTTCAATTTTATGCCATTTATTACAGAGTAAACAAGTTTACAATAAATCAATTTGATATTTAAAGGAATGCTAATTCAATGTGTAGTATGGTTGTCACTCTTTAAATAGGTTAGATATAGGTTGACGGGGCAAAGGAGTGTGCGTGCTGTTCGCTATTGCTCACACCAAACGGCAACCTAGTAAATGTTTTGTATGGACACCGGTCTCCATCACGATACAAAATTAGGATTGTAGAATTTATTGTATAACTTTTAGTGCAGTGGAGGTAGCGGTGTGGTGCATTAATAGAGTGACAGCCTACTGATTTAGAGTTGTTTTTAAGTGAGTATAATGGGTATATTTTTGGACCTAAAGGCTTTAGTATGGCAACTTTAAAATTGGTTCTTTTAATCATTTATTAAATATCAGTTTAAAAATATAAGTAAGTAAAATACAATTTAAAAATAATAGAAATAGTCATACAATTAAGAAATTTACCAAATTCTTAATATCTACCTAAGAGAAAAATACCTACCTAAGTCAATTTCTACCTGTAATACACTAAATATTAGGTTAAATAAATAGGTGGTGGAGTCAGCACACATTTACCAAAATCAAAATTTTTTAATAGGAGGAACCTGTGGGCCGAGAACACTGGATTAAATTTGTTGAAGGGGATTGTTTTCAAATGATAGCTGCATTATGTCATAATCGCTTGAGTTCCATGCTGAATCATTATAAGCATGTTGCAGCTTTAGTAGACTTAACAAGTCTCTCTCTAAGTCTGAGATCTCCCTGCTCAGCATCTTTGGTAGAAGCTTTTGTCTTATCTCAAGTTTTGGCGGCTTCAGAGATGTTAGGCACAGTCCTTTGAACAAACTTCCATCTGTGTTGGATGCCAGAGATGCTAGGCTGCTTGAGACTCAGATTCTGTAATATCAGCTAGCATCTTGATGTCTTCACACCACCTTGGACCTTATCCGCGATGTACTGAACTTTGAAGTCCAAGCGTTCATCAGTGGTAACTGTAGCGAATTTACTAGTGTTGGTGAGAACTCTCGTGAAGTAATGTACTTTGGTGACTTCTCGTATAGGTACACTGGCACTGAGCACCCAGCAAGAGAAATGCCGCACGTGCTGAAGAAGCTTATTGACACAATTGTTCCTAAAATACCTTCTCCAGTGAATGATAGGAATATCAAGATTAACTCGTGTCTCATTAGTAAGTATAGCTCTGGTGCTAACCACATTCCAATGCACAGAGATGATGAGCCTGTGATTGATCCCGAATCTCACATCCTTACGATCTCACTAGGAGCTGCCCGTACCATGTCCTTCTGCAATAATGATGACATCCAATCAGAAGATCTCCCCCTTCAGGACAACAGCTTGTTAGTCACAACGAGATATGCGCAGGACTTTTGGAAACACGGGATCCTCCCAGACGAGAATGTCTCCACAGAGAGAGTGAGCCTGACCTTTAGACACATTTCTCCTCACTTCATCAATTCGACCATCATTCTGGGTGATTCAAACACCTCCAGGATGACATTTGGTGACTCAGTAGGTACCTTTGGTCGTTGGGTCCCTGGGAAGCGTGTTTTGGTAGGTCACATGGAGGCTCTCCCTGATGCAATTGAGATTGGCCCTTACCGTAATATTGTCATCCATACTGGAATCAACAGTATTAACTCCCGGTCTCATCCACGATCAGAAGCCTACCTCCTCCATGTCCTCGAATCCAAGTGCAGAGACATTACTGAAACCTACCCCAAATCCAAAATCCACTTGTCAATGTTACTTCCAACTAGACTAAACTCTCTAAATAGAAAAGTTGAAAGCTTTAATCGGGGCATCCTCGATGTGTCTTATCAGCAAAGAAACATTTTTATTATTGATAACTCTATTTTTGGTCGCCAGCTCTCTGATGAGTATGGCAGATGGGATATTGCTGCAAATGGCCCTCTTACCTCAGATATTGTCCACCTTGGTAAAAGTGGTATCCGTAAATTTGCTGCGAATATTAAGGAATCTGTAGCTGGCAGAAGGAGTAGCCAGTCTAGAGCACGTTTTAACACCAGTCAGGGGAACTTCGGCGGAGCGGTAGAGGGTGGTAGGCGCCCACCATAATTATGATGATCAAACAACCACAAATTACTAAGAATGTTTGCAAGGGATGCAATAAATTTATCTCAACACACCACAAAATTTTGAACTGTAGCTCCTGTGGAACAGTTACTCACTCTAAATGTGCCAAAAATCTCTTCCAATACACCCACACCAATGATAGCTGGCAATGCTACATCTGCATCGCCAGCTTACCACAACGGTACTGCCCATTTGCTTCTGCACTTATACGTGACAAACATGACCCAGTCCACCTTGATGAAATTGAAGATGTTTCTGAAATCAATGAAATCCATAAAAGCTGTAAAAATTATGATCATAA